GTGATCTTATACCTCGGTCCGACTGTAACCATACATCTTCTGAGCTCCGCGCGGATCTCTTGGGTCGGTGCTGGACCCCTTGCTGAGCGCGCCAGGGGCTGCGATGGAGGCGCTGCTTGGGCGGTCCAGCGCCGATCTAAGAAATCCGCGCGAACCTCAAAAAAGGTTTTGTTTGTGCTGTTTTATTGTTCGGTGTCCTTGTCCTTCCTACAGCACTCCTGAAGAATAACTGGACAGCTCGGTTCAGCAGCCGACCCTCCATCCAAAGTTGGTTCGTGACGGGGCCGCTGCCATGCTGTGTATTTCGATGCAACGTTGGACGGGGGACAGGGGGGGGGCGCCATTGCGAGAATATGACCCCATGACCGGGCAGTCCCATGACGACTCCGATGGGACCCCGAAGCGGCGCCCCCTGAAACCGATGGACAATGGCCATTTTCATAAAGTTTTTCTCAAAGAGCCTTGTAGCGCCATCGTGGAACGGGCTCAAAGGACGACCTCTTGTCGGCGCGCCACCGCGTGGTACCTCTTCCTCCTCGCTCCTCTCGTTCGCCTCGCGTGCTCCAGATCGTCCGCGTCTCCGTCCTCATCGTCGTCCTCGCCCCGGCCACACGCAAGAGTGATCCTGGGCAAGGGTGACCTCCGGAGCGCGGCTTTATGGGGGAGGCGCGAGGGGGCCAAAACCAAGCGCGCAAACCGCCGCTGCCGCTGCGCGCTCATCGATGGGGGGACCCCTGTGGGCCCGCAACAAAGGTCACACCGGAGAGGGGCCACTCCTATCGCTGCACCGACCTTGCAGATGTGCCGCAGCGGATTGATGCGCGGTTTTCTGCCAGTGCAAAGACCCCGAGACGGCGAGCGAAAAACACAGTGACTTTCACGTGTTTTTGTTGTCGTCATCCTTGCTGGCCAGAAAACCGCACGAACCTCACTCCGAAATCCGGAACGAAATTCTCCAGGACACTCCGGGCCCATCCTCTTGTTCTCCGAACGAGATCCGCTCTGCGATGCGGGCACCATGACAACGTAGCAATATGTGATAGACGCACGTGCGGTCAGGAACTTCTTCTGAGCGCGTCGCGGCGGCGGCCCCGGCGACACGCCATGCCCTAGGAGCTGACAGCCAGCGTGCCGCTCCGCTCCGCGCGGCGGGAGGCTCGGACGCTGAGGCTCGGGGAGCGGGGAAGGCGGATAGCGTGTCGCGCCGAGGCGTGGCTGGCCAGAATCGGCGGCGCAACATGCTATCCCAGAGTTCTCGACCGTATTGCCATGGCTCTTACGTACAGTGGAGGCCCCTTCACAAGAAACCGTCCACAAGAGAAACCAAACCCTGAGACCCCAGGACATCCATCGATTGTTGGTGTGGGGAACGTCACGCCTTCCACAGAAAACCATCAAAACCCAAGAAACCCAGGGCACCCTGGAGGCAAGCAGGGTGTTTCTTGGCATGGACCCCCACTGTAAGCCAAAGCTCCGAACCGTACACACGGCATGCAAGCATGCAGACAACAATCTGCGCCACGTGCCACGTCCGCCACGCGCGTGGACAAACGATCTCGCAGAAGCTGGGGGCGCCTCAGACAATGCTTAGGTCGGGCGTGTCCCCCTACAGGGGGGATTTTGAAGGAACAAATAACAACATAGCCAAACATATATAAAACAAAATCGCTGAAAATTGTCAAAACATAGTCCCCAGGCTATTTTTCATTATTATTGAACGTTCCCCCCTGTAGAAGGACATGCCCGACTTAAGACCATGCCTGGAAGAGTGAAGCCTGGTCCATGCGTCCAGGCGACGCACGGCTGTAATGGGAAAGCCGCCGCCAGACTCGAGCTCAGCAGCGGCAAGGAGAACCGAGGACGACATCAGGTAGGAGGAACGATGGTTCACCCTCGTCGGACGCCCGCGCTTCTGGCGTGGCCTCGTCTCTCTCTCTCTCTCTCTCTTTCTCTCTTTATTTGTTCTCTCTCTCTCTCTTTCTTTTCTTTTGTTTTCTCTCTCTCTCTTTCTCTCTCTCTGTCTCTCTCTCTCTCTCTCTCTCTCTCTCTCTCTCTCTTTAGCAACAAATAAAACATAACGTAAACATGCATAAACTTTCCGAGGTCCACGCGGGTATTCTTGGACTGGCGATGGGCCCCCCTCCCTGGCGCGCGGGGCGCCTAAGGAGCGGCGCGGGAGGCGCCGCCAGGGGGGGGGGGGCCAGGCTACGATCCAAGAGGTACGCGCGGAGCTCCGACAATTTATGCTGATGCAGTTTTTCCGCCTTCGAGTCTCTGAATCTCTGCATCTTCCCCTCCACCTTCCACCTCCGACCTTCCACCTTCCACCTCCCACATCCCACCTTCCCCTCCCGCCTTCCGTTCTCGACCTTCCCCTCCACTTCCCACCTTCCCATGCGCCTTCCACCTTCGACCTCCCTTTCGGTGAAAACAAAACGCAGTGGAAAACACACACACACCTCTGTGGTAGAAAAAACATACAGTGGAAAAACACACACAGACTCTTCACATTTGTTTTTGTTCCACTGACCGTTCTCCTCCCGCGCCCCAGCCCTCACCAACCCCCCCCCCCTTCGGCGATGACCCGCCCCACCTCCCTGCGCCGCCGCCGAGCGGGGAGGGGGCAGCCAAAAAGAACGCGGGGGGCATCCGTGGCCTTGTCGGTGTCCGTCTCGCAGCCGATGATCACCCGGTTGCCGTCGATTACGTGCTGCTTCAGCTGGTGGGAGAGGACGCCCTGACCCGAGCCCATCTCGTGGCGGCCGAGGCGAGACTGAAAGGTCCCAGGAGTGCGCGCGCGTCCGGGCGCCGCTGCCGGGAGGGAGGGAAGCAGGGAAGAGCAGGGAAGAGGAGGCAGCGCGAGAGCACGGGGGGGAGGTTGACGAGAGGAGATCGGGAAGATGCGGGGTGATTGGTAGGAAGAGGCGGAGGAGAAGGAGGAGGAGGAGGAGGATGAGGAGCCCTCCTCTCCCTCTCAATCGCTGCCCCATCTTTCCCCCTCCATCCCCCCCCCCCTTTCTCTCCTCTTTCTCTCTCACCCTTTGGCTCCTGCCCCACGGCCCTCTCCACCCCTCCATCTCCAGTCTCTCCACCCCCCCGCGGGAGGAGCAGTGGGAGGGGGACAAAGCGGAGGAGGAGAACGACGACGACGAAAAAGACGACGATGACGACGACGATGACAACTGCGATGGCGACGACGAGGGGACCCGCCCCCCTCCCCCCAGCGACCACCTCCCCCCCCTCCGCGCGGCAGCGGTCGCTGGCCCCCGCCCCCACGAGGCCTGCACGGGCTTGCACTGAAATTCCGCCGCGATCTTCGGGGGGGGGAGGGCACCGGACGGCGGCGCCCGCGGACGTCGTCGTCGTCGTCGTCGTCGTCGTCGTCGTCGTCGTCGTCGTCGTATTCCTCGCCGTCGTTGTCGCCGCCACCGCCGTCGCGATCCTCGTTGTCGCAGTTGCCGCTGCCTTCGTCTTCCTCGTCGCCATCGCCGCCGCCGTCAGTCGTCTACGACGCCGCCGCCGCTGGTCGCCGGTCGTCGGTCGTCGGTCGTCGTCCCTCGTCGTCGTCGTCTCCACCGCGGGCTCGGGCGGCGGCAGTCGCCCCAGCAGCGGGGGCGGCGTGGGAGAGGGCGGCCGAGGCAAGGTCCGCCTGGAGGAAGGGGATGCCGACGAGGCTGAACGCCCTTCCTTTTGTGCGAAGGGAGATGCTGCAAGACGGCAGCAATGCTGAAATTACGAACTCCCTTCGCACAGAAAGGCGGTCAAGCTGTTCAGGCGTCAGACTTGAAACGCAATGTGTGCAGAGGCCAACAACATTGGCTTCAGACAGATTGCGTTTTCAGGTTAATGTGCACTCGGTTGGTCGCCCTTGTTGGGCTCCCTGGAAGCCTTCGTCGTCACGGCCGGGTTCGACTGACGGTCATGCCTGGGACACGCCCCGGGAGAGGTCTTTGGCGACCCTGGGGCGGACGCGGCAGAACGGGAGAAGGAACAGGAGCTTATCTCCATTCGCGTTCGAGCTCTGAACATGGCCAGCACAACATGCATCCACTCGATCCAAGCGCGCTCTGCGCTCAAGTTCAAACATGCGCCGAACCTTGACGATAGCACAGCCGCATGTGCGAAACCACTGGTTTCCCCCAGCAAAGACGTAGCTTGACCTGGAGACCGCCTGGAGAATTCGGCCCTGGCCAACAGGTCACGAAGAGATCTGACCGTGCCGCTGACCCCCAGTGGTGGCTACTGGCCAGGGCTGGAGAGGCGAGGCAGGCGGACGGGCAGGCAGGGATGGGCCGAGGAAGGCAGACCGCGGCGGGGCCAAGGGACTGGAGAGAAGGGCCGCCCACGGCGAGGTTACGGCCACTACCGCGAAACTGGCCCAGCAGCGCAGGCGGGAGAGCTGAAAAGGTCGTCGGGGAGGCGTCGGGGTCGGTGTGGTTGCACGGGGGAGCCGGGAGCGTCGCCGCGCGGGCTCGTCAAAAGGGTGGGGGTCCAATGTGGGTCGGGGCGAAGTGCATTGCGCACCTCCCGCCCCGCCGAAACCCGCCTGCCGCTGGCCCATGAGGGAGGGGCCTGCCGCAATGCGGCTTAGTCGGTAAGGACCCTCTCGGGCGCGCCTCCCACCATTCCGGAACCCGCCCAGCACCGGCCCATGAGGGAGGGGCCTACCGCACTGTGGCTTGGTCGGCAAGGGCCCTACTGGACGTGACACCGCTGGAACCCGCCCGCCGCTGGCCCATGAAGGACGGGCACGCCGCGTTGTGGCTTCGTCGGCGAAGGCCCCTTCAACCGTGCTTCTCGCCCCGCGAAAACCTGGGCTCTCTCCGCCTTGGGCGAGACGCGTTCATGCTACCCGACGTGGAGGCGCCAGCGGGCGGCGCTAGGTAGCACCGGGGAAATCTCACGTGGCGTCCACCGCGAAGGCCGCCGAGGCAGCGGCCGAGCGGGCCGCGGCCACCTTCGCCCATCCAGACTGCGGCTGGAGGTGCCGCAACACCGCTATAAACAAGGATATGGAGACACATGGGCGGGAGATCTGCTACCATGGCACGCGGTCCCGCCCGCCTCCATGGGCATCCAGGCATCCACCGCCATGGGGGGGAGGCGAAGCCCTGCTCCGCGCGAGGCCCTAAGGTGTCCTGTCGCTGGTTTGGGAACTCTTCGCGCCGACTCCCTGGCGCGCTGGACAAAGCGGCTGACGCGGCGAGGAAGTCGGCGCGCATCCTGGGCGCGGCGGCGAAATCCCAGGAAGCCGCCGCGCACTGACGCCAAGACGGCGGCGCCGCAGGTTTTGTCGCCCACCTAGGGCGGGCACCCAAGCGGAACGCAACGCGGAGGCGGCTGACCTGGCGCGGAGGGAACTCTGGTCGCGCATGGCTTTGTTACGCTAGGTCTGGTCAGACACAGACCAAAGCGCGGTCGCAGAAGACGCCCGTGAACCCGCAACACGTTGAGCAAAAACACTCCGCCGCCGAAGCTGGAATCGAAGCCGCCTCCGCAGGCCGGCTCCGCCGCCCGCACGCCTGAGACCACAGGGGAAGGCGGTGATGGCGGCATGGCAGGGCGGCATGTGGAGCCGCGCGCCTGCGCCTGGAAAGGTGCGCCCTTCTGGCCCACTGTGTAATCGGCCACAGGCCCATCGAGCGCAGCGTTGTCCACCGCGTCGGACAAGGCCTTCTGGTCACATGATCGAGCGCCCCCCTGTCAGCACCCCGCGCCGCTGCGTTGCGGGCATGCACCGCGGCCGCAAGGCAATCCCACGCGCGGTCAGCGCTGCTGAAGCAGCTACGGCAAAGCTGCCTACAGAGGTCGGTGCTCTTCGCTCGAGAAGCGATGTTGGTGGCGGCGGCGTGCTTCGTTGCGAAGCCCAAGCCGAACCCTCCTTCGTTGAGCTTGAGCTGGGCATGTAGCCAGGAGGCGCAGGGGGGCGAGCAGTCGCTCTGGTGTTCGAAGCGATTCCGGGCGGTCAGCATGGAGGCGGTGCGCGTGGCGGGCGGCGCCGCACCCGCCGAGAAGCCTAAGCTCGCACAAGTAGGCGTACTGTCACAGGGGGTGCAGCGCGACATGCGCGCGCGACTTCGAGCGCCTCCCAGGCTGCCAGCAGCGCAGCGACATCCGCTGCTTGAAGTCCTCTGCACAGATGTCCCCGCCCCCCACAGCCGCCCCGAACAGCTAAAGACAGCGATCGGCGCGGAGGTGGAATCTCCCGCCCAACTCGACGTCGACGGCGTCTCGCCAGTGTGGGGCGGCACCAGGTGCCTGGGCCAGCGGTTAGCTGCAGGCCCACGGCGGCGAGGCTGGCCACGAGCACGCGGAGGAGACGCACCGCGGCCACCGCGTCTCACGCAAACCGGCCGCCGCCCAGGCAGAGCAGAAACTCGGATCGGCGGCGCCGTCGGCGCCGTGGCGCGGCGCGCGGACAGCAGCCGCGGAGGCGCGCCAGAGAGCCAGAGGGCGAAGAGCACAGGCCCGACGGGGGTGGCCCCGCTGCGCCACGCTTTGGTGCGCCACGCTTTCGGGGAGGACCGTCTGCCTTCCCAGGGCGGCGGCCGATGAGCGGGGGAGGCACCAGCCCGGGGAGCTCTTCCTCGGGCGGCGCGGGGGGGGAAGCGAGAAGGGGCGGGCCTTCTTCAGGAGGCTCGGGAGGCCTCGGGCCTGCTGAGAAGTGTCCGTCCACCTGCCCCGGAGGCACGGGCAGCTTCACACAAGGCGCGAGGGCTTCTAAGAAGTCCAGCCGCCTTCTGAGAAGGCATCCTCCTTCTCGCTCCTCCCACACGCTCGCCGCCGCTTCATGGGCGGAGCAGAACCCGCCCCCGCAAAAGTTGGACGCGTCAAGCTTCACAGACAACTTCGCGTGGGTGAGTTTTTTTTGTTGATTCGGCGTTTCGGCATTGGGCGGAAAGTGGGGGAGGGGGGTCTGGCTCCAGACCTGTGCTTAGAGCGACTGTTTGCAGCAATGCGTCCATTGTGGGGAAGGCTCCACCTGCTCGAAACGGGCGCCAATAACAGCAAAGATCTACTCCATGGGGGGGGACGGGGGAGTGCGAGGGCCCGCGCCGATCGGCAAAACAACGAATAAAAAAACGACCATTGTCTCCGAAGTGGTGGATGTTCCAGTACTGGCGGGCATCGTGTACCGCCGCTTGGGTGCCGCCAGGGGCCACGACGCCGATCTGGGGCGGGGCCAGTCGGTCGCGCGCGGCGTCGGCCGCCGCGCTGCAAAGGCTCCTGCCGACCAAGCGCCAGGGTTGCGAACGGAGGTTAACGACCGATGAGTCGAGCCTACCGTGTGGTCCATAGGTAGAGGACGAAGAGGAGAAAGTACGGAGATCTTTTATCCTCGCGCCCGTCGGATCGAGGGCGCGCAAGATGTCCGGTACCTGAGCCGAGAGGGTAGCAGGAAAGATGGATAGAGAGGGGAGGTGAGCGGTTTTCACACACAGGAGCACCTCCCCGAGAGCAGAGACGGGTCACATTGCGCAACGACTGCCAAGTTCGTTTGTTACGTCTGTCGCCGCCTGGCCTGCGCCATACGCGAAGACAGCGACATGTTCACCTCAACGATGCCCCGCGGCCAGCAAGCAAGACAACGTGTCGCTCGGAGGGGGAGTGGAGCCACGGATGCGTATGAACACCCGTTCTAACTCAACGTATGCGGCATCGGGTGTATGCGGCATCGGCCGTAAAGACCACGTTAGACCCCAACGTAAGCAATCGGGCTTTCAGCGCTTCTGCGTCCTTGCGCGTATGCAACACGCTTTGGCAAACTGTGCCTACGTAGCTATGGGCTATGGTTTCCTCTACGTAGCCTTGATTTTCTCATCAGCACCGCTTCGCCTGCGACATCGCCCAGGTTTTCTCAGTGGCTTGTAGAAATGGATCCGCGCAATCATACTATAAATGAAGACATGTTGAACTGACATATCTGCGGATGCTCGCGTGGCAACGTGTCGAGGAAGCGGTGTGTGCTTGCGACGGGCGAATCATGTGGCACTCTGACTGTCTAATCCCTCCCGCGAGGGCGCGCTGAAATAGCGCGGGTTACGCGGCGCAGCTACGCTGAAATATATTGACCACCTTGTGCTGGGGCGGGAACACAACCGAAAGTCTCGGGCCAAGGGCGCAACCGACCGCGGAGCGGCATGAACCAAATGAAAGATGGCACACTCGCCATCCGATCCTCGCACGAACACGCCGCTACCTCGGGCTCCCTGGGCACTCTCGCTGGAACCTTCCAAACCGTGGTCGCCGCGTCACGGCGCGAAGATGCGGCGGCAGGGCACAAGCTAGCCGATGAGAAAGACGAGGGAACTATGACTGTAATTGGCTGGGGCGATGAGATGGTCTTGCCAGGCGAATGGCGAGTGAATCCGCCGACCCCTTGGGCTCACGGCGTGTGAGATGCTTCCCCGTCCTCAAACCCCTCCCCTGGGGGCCTGGTCCGGCCGGTTTGGAAGGGGGTGGGGGGGCAAATCCATCATCCGCACACTTGGAGGCTCAGGAGGTCCCAGAACGGGCCAAAAAAGGTTCCAAAGGTTCCAGGAACGGTCCAAGGGAGCTACGAATCGACGAAGGATCAACCTAAAACGTCGAAGATTGCCTCCACACGGCTCCGTAAGTCCCCAAGACGTTTGAAACAATATTACGAGGCGCCCCAAAGAGGTCCTCCAGAAACGAAAATCCTCCCATGCGCTAGGGAAAACGTGCATTTTCACCACATTCGCCCATTCGGCTTCCACGCGGCGCAAAACGGCCCAAAAAGCCTCCAAGATCGACCCTCGCCAGCCCAAGAGGTTCCCCAAGACGGCGTCTGGGCGATCCACGAAGGCCCCAGAAGCCATAGCAACGGCTTAGGAAAGCCGCAGGACGGTCCAAAGAGGACTCCAAAACGGGGCAAGAGGACCCCCAAAGGCTGTCTGGACGGCCCACGCGGGGGACGATTCGGTCCAAACCGCCCAAGATCGCCGCCTGACGGCCCAATGGGCGCCCAAGACGTTTGAAAACGCGACCACGGGGCGCTCCAAGCAGGCCTCCAAAAGCAAAAACCGTCCCATTCCCCAGGTAAAACGTACATTTTCAGCACATTCGCTCCTTGGGCTTTCACGAGGCCCACAACGGCCTAGTAAACCTCCAAGATCGACCTCTGGCACCCCAAGAAACTCTCCAAAAGGCTCCACGCCGGCCTCCGGGGTCCCCACGAACGCCCCAGAAACCATAGCAACGGCCCGGGGGAACGGCACGACGGTCCGAAGAGGGCTCCGAAACGTGTCTAGAGGGGCCTCACAAGCTGTGCGGACAGGCCACGCGGGGGACGATTGCTGCCGCCCCAAAGGGTCGGCGGTGTGGCGTAAGCCAATGGATCCACGTCCGGAGGTGACGTGCTGAGCGGCAGCGTTTTCTGCGGAGGCGATGATGCAACGTGTCCGATGTATCCAATGATTGCATAATTGCCACATAATGCATTATTATGTCTCCCCCCCGAACCCCCCCCTGGGAGCTGCACCACAGGAGCGGACCAAAGTGGCCCCCCCCCCCCCCTCCCGGGGCTCATACACCTACCAAAACCTATAGAAAATCGATGAATTCGATTTCTTGGGCCTCTGGGGGGCACAGAGGGCGCCAAGACGGCTCAAAATGGGCTCTGTGCGGGCCAAGACGACCCCGAGACGGTCCAAGACTGCCCCAAGAAGACCCAACAAAAAACCCAATGACGGCCCAAGAGGGCCCCAAGAGCGCCCACAACTGCGCCTCCAGAAGCCAAAATCCTTGATTTCTTTTTGGTTTGGAAATATTTTAGCGCTCTCGCCTTGCAGCTTCCCAAATCGCTCCAGAACAACCCAAGAAGCCCCCAAGAGGGCCCCAATACGGCCCAACAAAACCCCAAGACGGCCCAAAGAGGCCCCCAAGACAATCCAAGAGGCCCCTATGACGGCCCAAAAGGACCCCAAGACGGCCCCAAGGCGGCCGCGAGAGGCCCCCAAGGCGGCCTCCGAAGGGGCGAAACGGCGAAAAAGCGCCCCAATACGGCCAAAGACGCCCCCAAGAGGCCCCCAAGAGGCCCCCAAGGGGCCCCAAAAAGCCCCCAAGAGGCCTCCAAGATGTCGTCAAGAAGCCTCCCAAAGGCTCCAAAGAAACCCCCCAAAGGCCACACAGCGACTGGAGTGCAATGCCATTTTTCCAACCTGGGCGAACTGCGGCACAGCGCCAGCCAGGTGGAAGTTGGTCACAGCGGCGCCCATGATTAGAGCCGGCGCTGGAAGGAAATATGGGGAGGGAGTATGGTACGGACGAGACGGAGCAGCAGCAGCGGGAGGAGGACGTGGAGCAGGACGTGGACGAGGAGGAGGAGCAGCACGAGCCGGGAGAGGAGGACGACAAAGAAGAGGAGGAACTGCAGTTGGACGTGGGGCTAGATTCTGTGGGCATCGTGCGTCCGGACCAGAATTTGACGATCTGTGAGTCCCATGCTCCCGGAATCAGGATCTGGGAACAGGCCAAGACCTGTGGAGCGCCAATAAGACGAAGGCAGAATCGAGACTGAATCGGACCGATATATATATATATATATATATATATATATATATCGGTAATCACTGAGAATCGGCGGGTTTGGAAGATGCATCGGCGCCGCGGTCGTTTCAGAGCGTTCCGGAACGCTCTGAGAGCGTTCCAAAACGCTCTGGAACAGATTTATCCTAATTCTAGGCCCGTCCGAGCAAGTCCATCCATCCGCGCCGATCCCAGCCGGACCAGCCCCTGCAGCCCCAGATCTGCAGATTTGCCCCTGAGGGGCAACGATAGGGGGGGATGGGCATAGGGGGGGGAGCATCGACCTGGAATCGGCGATACATTGCCGATAGATCGGCGATAGGCCCCCCATAGTGGATCCGCACGTTCCTGGGCAGGTTGGGGCCGTCGGGCCCCTATCGGCAATCGATGGGCGATTTGGGGTCGATGCATCCCCCCCTATGTGCCCATCACCCCCCATCTTAGCTGGCCCGACACGCCACACGCAACACGTAGCGTGCTGGCACGGAGAACACGTAGACTGAGAACATAGGTCTGGCGCGGTGCGTTCGCCAAAATGCGGGCCAACACGTGCCGAGCCAACACGCAGCGTGTTCACACGGACGCTTAGAACACGGCACGTGTTGCGTTCCTACACGGGCGTATCAGTTGAGCAGGGACCGACCGTCCCGGCATTCATATAGTTCTACCACGAAATTTTCTTAGAACCAAAAAGTGTTCGAAAAGCAGGACAATGCTCTTAAAACATTAAGCGAATGAGCTAAAACGGAACAGTCTCAACCAGAAATGTTCCAAGAACATGTCGTGGTGGGTCTTAGGACATTCTTTGGTGGGCCTATAGGCGAGCCGGGACGCTTCGCCTCTGCCTGAACCAGGGCAGCCAAGCCCCCTGTCGGTGCCCCCGAGGCCCCCGAGGGCCAGGGGCACGGCCGAGCCTGCGGCGCACGCGCCGGCCCATGGGCTCGAGACGGGGCTGGAGCAGGCCAGGGTCGGCGCGGGTGGACGGCTCCCACGACGACGGTGTGGACGACGACGACGAAGACGCCGACGACGCCGACGACGACAACGACGACGGCGGCGACCACGGCGACGGCGACGAGGGCGACGAGGACGGCGACGAGGACGGCGGCGACGGCAACAAGGACGGCGACGACGACGGCGTCGACGACGGCGGCGGCGACGACGACGAAGACGGCGACGTCGACGACGATGATGGCGAGGACGAGCGGCGGCGGCGGTGGCGGCCCGCGGCGGCCGCCGTGGAGGCCACGGCCCGCGGTCGGGGCCAAGCGGCGGGCCTTGCCGAACGCGTTGGTGACGGCGGCGACGACGACGACGACAACGACGACGATAACGACGGCGACTACGACGACAACGATGACGACGACGACGAGAACGACGTCGACGACGACAATGACGGCGGCGACGACGACGACCACGACCACCACGACGACGACGACAGACCTTGCTGAACGCGCTGGTGACGGCGGTGTTGGTGTTTCCCACCTGCACGAGCCGGAGGGCGGCCTCGCCAGCGGAGGCCGCGAAGCGGCAGGGAGCGGCGGCGCGGGGGGCAGGATGGCCGGAGGGGGCGTCAAGGTATCGATCCTCCTCCTCTTCCTCCTCCCCTTCCCCCTCCTCCTGCCTCCTCCTCTGCCTCCTCCTCTGCCTCCTCCCCTGCCTCCTCCTCCTCCCCTCCTCCCTCCCCTTAGCCTCCTCTGTCTCCTCTTGTGTCTCCTCCTCCTCCTCCGCCTCCTCCTGTTTCCTGTGTTCTGACGGCTCCTCCTCCTCCTCCTCCTCCTTCTCCTCCTCGTCCTTCTCCTTCCTCTCGCCTCATGCAACCTTCTCCTCCTCGTGCACTGGCGGAGGACGCGGGATCTCTCCGCTGATGCCGACCAACGGCGCCCGCCAGCGGCAACAGCGGCCGACGGAGCCATGCGCACGCGTGCGCACGCGTACGCACGCAGCCCAAG